TTGATTCATAGGGCATGTCCCGTTTTCGCGGGGATTCAGACCACTTTTGGAGGGAAAACCCCCGTTGTTTGATATTTGTTTCTCCTGGGTGAACATTAAAGGCAACGGATTCGTGTTTCTCCGCGGAAAAAAAAAGAAGAAGAAGAAGACGGAGAAAACCAACGAGGGGGGAAAAAAACGGGCGCGTGCCGCGCCTCTTGCGCCCCTCGGAGTCGGCCATAGGGCCACTGGCGTTGGGCACGCCCAGGATGCCGCCGTTCCTCGGGGGTCCGAAGGGAACTCGGGGAACCAAAGCGTTCGACACCAAATACTCTAGTTGATTCGGGGTTGATTCCAATTCCACTATTTTCAACGTTCTTTTCAAAAACCGGATCTAATTCCCCTGGGTGTTGGGTGGTTTTTTAGAAAGAAGGACACCTGGGTTCAGAATGGAAATGGAAATGGTACCCCCGGAAATACGAGGCAAAATGGCATGGGCTTTGAGAGTCTTCAATATGCAAGAATAAGCAACCGAGCCAAGGAAGACTAAAATGTGTTCGAGTAAACAAAAACTACTCAATCGGTATTGTGGCTGCCTTCAGGCGTTTGAACTGGCTGGGGCTCGCAAACCAACAATCAGTGACTTCTTGGTTTCGCAGGCACTCGTTGATCCCTTGCAAAAGCTGAAACTTGTGGGATATGTCATAAATCCCTGCAAACGCTTGTCTCAAAGCCGGAAGTATTGCTGGGAACCGCCAAGAAGACAACTTGGCTGTCCGTGTTCCGATCCCCTCCAAATGTTTAACTTCTAGAAAACGGATTGAATGTGACTTTTGTGCATCCACCCGTGTAAGATATGCAAAGAGAGTACTAGAAAAGTGTTAAACAAGAACCTACAGGGGGAGGAACAGGTGAAATTCACAAAGCGCATCCAAACCGTTTTCCAGAAGATCAAAAACCAGAAAGTCAGGCCTTTTCATGGTCCTTTTCTGTCCTCAGCTGCCCAAACGAATCAACCTTTTAACCTTTGGGTTTTCCTTCTTTGGTCCACTTTTAGTAAAGGTCCTAAAGGGTCAGCCTTTTGTTTCTAGGTGCTTTGCAAAAGTGAGTAACATTTCATACCCCTTTCCATATCCTTTTCATACCCCTTTCCCCTTAAGCCTAGCATTTTGAGGCTGACTTTGGCAACATGAGGACACCCAATGATTCAAAACCAAAGGCGAAAGCCGTTTGATCTCCCCAACACCCACCCAACCCCCCAATCCCCCCCCCAGCAGAAAACCCCAACCAACCACCCCCCCACCCCCCCAACCCCCCCCCCCAAACAGAAAACCCCCCAACCCAACCACCTCACCTTTGGACGGATCTGCAGTCTGAAGCTGAGCTCCCGTCGCATAGTCCCCCGGATCCCGAGACTCATCCGCCCTGGCCCACTCGCGTGAAGCGCGCGTGAAGGACGGCCCAGCCCACCGAAAAACTGGGCTTCTGACTTCTTGAAATCCGAAGCCCTGGTGCTTGGTACAAGGGTTTTGGGAGCGTCTCATGTGAAATTCGATCCACTTTGGGTCGGTAAAGGGGTTCTCAACATGAAGATTCGAAAAGTTTTGGGGGGGTTCTCAACTTGAAATTCGAGCCCCTTGTGGTTGTCACAAGTGAAAACCAAAAGGACATCAAACATAGGGGGACAGATTCGGATTTCGGAAACACCAACAAAGTGCTCGGCCACCGAGTTCTCCCTTTCTCGGGTAACAGGTGGCCAAACGCCCAGGTTTGCTATGCGGATGGTGGCGAAAACTGTTTCGCACCGAAGAAACTATGCGAGAAAAAACATGTTGGTACGTATGTCCGGAAACCATGCATTTGTTCCATTGTTTTTTGTGTTTTTTGTTGTGTTTGTTTTTTTTAGAAAGAAAAACAACAACTGTTTCGTATGACCAGAAACCATGCAAGAATACAACCACTGTTTGGTATTTCCAGGGGACTGGAATCATTCTATGGCTAGGTGGTTTCTCAGTGGCAAACCGGTTGAGCTTGGCGCCCAACGAGATCCGATATTCACATCCTAAGCCAGGTGATCCCCAGCCCTACCTTCCACCTGCAAAACTGGAAATCAATTTGGGGTCCCCCAGAAGGCGATCGAACTCGCCACTAACTGTTTTTCGCCACTAAACATGGTGTGTGTGTGCTTTTTCACCACTTTTTTTTGAGCCACTCAAAATGGTGTTGTTTTTTTGATTTTTGGGGGTGTCGTTCTTTTGGGGGGGGTGCGTGTGAATCTCGAAGCTTGCTTTGGCAACAGAGACCATGGAGTTTCGGGGCCAAGATCCACACGCTAAAAGGCTTGGGATCCAATCTTGTTGCGGGGTTGGTCGGGTTCCGAAGCCCTGTCGTTTCTCGAAAAAGCCAGTTGGCTGTGGGTCACAAATGGGGTGACCCCAAAATGGCTTGCCCTGGCAAATAAAACCAAAAACTCAAATCTGCGGCCCAACTCCTGGTGGGTTCATTTTGACCCACACCCATCTGGCGCCCCCCGTTTGCTTGTCGACGGTCTAAGGGAGAAGGATGAAGCCTTGCCAGAATGAGGAAAGCACAACGTGAACTTCGTTCCTGACATGCCCGAAAAACGCCAAGCGACCTCAAATGGAGACAACTAGAGACGAAGCAAAGAACAAGATCCGATTTCACAACTCAGGCCGACATTTTAGGCCCTGAACGCTTGGGGGAGTCGACTTCGACTGGACCCTTGGGGCCGCGGTGAGGTGTTAGTTTTGGGGCACCAGGGACGTAGAAAGCCCCACAACTGCTGGGATGCCGACCACCTATATACTGGGTGCCTGGTGCCAGCACCTCTTACCTCCCGTCCTTCCAGTCCTAACCCAAGGGCCTGTAGAGGCCGAAGTCCACCATGCCGCAGAAGAGGAAGATCTGGATCCAGCCGGTGAAGGGCACCTCGCGCAATCGGAGCGCTCGCTCGCTCGGGATCGCTCGAGCCGGAGATCGCGGTTTCTTCTTTTTCCGCGGGAGACGTTTTGCGAGGCGAGGCGAAGGCCCACAGAATAGATCAGCATGTTGTTGCTATAGTTCCAAAACGAACGAATCCGGTCTCTGAGCACGTGCGCGACCGAATTCGGGAGTGTGGGGGTGGCCAAACCCTGAATTCAGGAATCTTTCAGCAAAGGACCGGTAAACCCAGGGCAAGGATACCCTCCGGTCGTTGAAATGGAATTCGAAGTGACCAGAGAGATGGTTCTTTTTGAAGGCAGATTTGGTCTGCTAGAAAACCCCGAAATGTCAGGTTCCATCGACATGGAAGTCTGTAGCATAGCATTTGTCCCAACATGTAGCCAAGGGAAGCACGAAAGTCTGACCAGGGCCTGGCCACCAGAGGTCCCGGGAGTTGGTTCCCTTCGCAAGGGGGGGGTGATGATTCTCAGGCTTGACTTCCTCCATTGCTTTCGTTTAAAACCGGGTCCTTCTACCCCGGGTTGGTGACCTCAGAAAGAACGATGCCTGAAAATGGGAAGCCGTCTTGGAAAAGCAAGGAAGAACCGATTGGTAAGAGCAACCCCGGCGCAATGAATCCTTCCATGCTGTCAGTAGCCAATGTAGACAGCCTTCAGCTAAGAGGAAAATGGACTCTGTTTGCCTCATGGCTCCTCCCATTAAGGGTTGACTTGTTGGACAACCCCCCGCGCCCCAAAAAAGTACTTGAACGGCTTGTCACGTAAAGAGAAGGGTATACCTGGACCTTCCGACATGTAAAATTAACGCCGTTTCCCAAAACAGCAATAATTTTCGCCGGTTGCTGAAAAAAAAGGCGCTCTTTCGGAGAAAAAGCGCTCGCCATGAGTCCAGCTCGGAACCAGGCAAAACAAAAACGCCGTTTTGGCGGCAAATTACGCCGGTTTGACGGCAAATTACGCCGTGTTGCAATTTTGATTGATGCTAGAGTATGCAAACACTGAAAACTGCCGGCAGGCGAAAACAATCGCCGTTGGGTCAAAAGACATAGTTTTTGACAAGACAGCAATAATCTTGCACATGTTGGAAGACCCAGGTATAACCCTTGCTTGATGCATAGAGCCAAACTCGCCCAGATTCAAAAGCAAAACAAGTGCCCGGCATGGGTTGCAACTGAGCTTGACCGAATCCACAGCTGTATCAGAACAGCAACGGGGGCCCCTGAAAAAGGATGGCACCTGGTAGACGGTCCGCAAACGGAAACCAGTGAAAGCCATCAATGCTCAACCAAACTGACCAAAGGACATGCCAAATGCCAAAGGGCAAACATGAGGCCAGGTGAAGAAATGAAGTGGAACCAAGGCCAAAGAAGGCCGTATGAAGGAGTACCGGCAGGCCAATGGTCAAGCGGAACTCATAAAACGCCATCCTTGGCCACATCGAGGTTTTGCCGGCTGGGCTCAAGACCGAATAAGGGCACCATTTGTTCAGTTGTCTATTTTAGGGGAACCCTCCCAACCAAAAAAGAAAGGGGTGAGCAAGGGCACTGGGGGACCTAGTTGAGGTCTTGCTGGGCTCGAGACATAAGACCCTTTGCGTGGCTCAACCGCCGTGTTTTGAGGGAACAACCCCGTGGATGTGGCAAGGTCCACCCGATACGCCCAGGTTCCGACACGCCCCCGGAGCCCCCGAAGCCGCCGCGCGCCTTGCCAAGGGCTGCCAGGCCGTTGGGCACGTCCGCGAACTTCAGGTCCTTTGCGGGCCTGTGCATCGGTGTCACGTTGTTGTTGTTTCTTTTTCTCCGAGGCCCAGGCGGGTGGTCGTTTCTGGACTCATTCAGCCGCAGGTTGCCAAGACATTGGTTGGATTTGTCGGGCTTTCCATTTCGTTGGGGGTGTTTACCGTCCATTTTGGGGCGGCGGTACCCTAGTTTTTGGCGGTGTTTCCCTGTTCTTGGCGGTGTTACCTCACCATCTGTCCTTAGGGGACCCCCAAAATGCTTGGTCTTTCGTTGATGTCCCTTTAAAACCACACAAAAGGGTACTCTCAAATTAAACTACCTGGACCGCCGCAGGTGCTGGTTTTAAGCAGCGACTTTGGAGAAGTGACAGAATAATTGCCACTTTGTGAAAGTGACTGATTTGTTGCGCCACTTTAGTATAAGTGGCATTTTTTCTGTCACTGTGACTGAAACTGATCATTCTGGTGGACCGAACATGCATTTTCAATGGATCACCCACTTCAGATCGCATGTTTGCAACAGATCACCAACTTCAGGGGCCCGTGCAAAAGCTTTCTGCTGCAGCCATGGTCATCTGATGTGATCGGGGCCTCGAGATCGTCAAGGACTGCATTCTCTTGCAAGTAGCGGGGTGTAGGGCAGATCATGATCTTTTTTTTTTTTGGAATGGGACCCCAGCGTGACATGCGAGAAGACATGGAGCTTGCACGCGGAGGTATACATGCATTAATTCTAGAATTCTTGGCATGAGGATCACGTGCCATGCAGCTCGATGTATCACATCGTATCCCGTGGCAGGAGATTGGCGCGCTGCTCGCGCGATCTGCGACAGGTGGGCGTCAGCCACAAGGCTGGGTGTGGGAGGCCATGCATGCCCGGGCCGTTGTTTTTCGGGGTTTTCGGGACCCTTTGACAGATGCATTATTCGATCGGACACAATCGCATGTGCGCAGTGCAGCCATTTTGGCTTTGCGGTTTTGGCCCTTCTTGGATCGCCAGTTGCTGCTTTTTTCCATGCACTTTACCCCAACGACCAGCAGCATCCAGTGACTAAAAAAGCAGATAACTTGGCTGTAGGTTGGTCGGTGCTGTACCATGGCACGCCTTGAAACCGATCGCGATCTGGTGGAGGCTTGGGAAGCTGCGGGGGTCATCAGGCGGAGGATGAAGGCTGGATCGGAGTGGTTGGATGTCCCTGGCAACAAGCAGGAGGCCGAGGGTGCGGAGGGGGACCGGGTGATGAGCACTATGGCATTGGCCCGCAATGCGGACGCGGTTCTTGCAGTGGCTCGAAGGTATGCCCCGAAGAAGGTGAAGGTGAAAACGTTGATGCAGCCTATCTACAAGCTCTACGAGAGCTTCAGCTGCATCCCGAACAAGACGCAGTGCTACGTGGACGCATGGCTGGTGCGGCGTTTGTACACATACGCCCGGAGAAGACAGAGGGATGCCTTGAGAAGGGATCAGACACCAAGAGCGCCTCAGATAGCCAGCATTGCTTTGTTTCAGTCACGGTTGCTGGTTTTTGGGGGTGAAGTGCATGCCGGTAAAGACCGGCAACTGGCGATCATCCTTTTTCTTTTTTTCTTTTCGGTACATGCACGCTTTCGTGATTTTCCCCCTTTTTTTGTTTTCGGTACTTAAGCATGCTTTTGTGATTCCTTCTGCGTGCTAGGACAAATCGGTGCGGGCCATTTTCAAGGTGCTTCACGACTTCAGCCGTGAGGGCTCCGATTCGGAGGAGGACGATGATTCGGACGAGGAGTCCAGCGATTCCGAGGTGCCGAGCTATGAGGACTGCGACATGATGAACTCCGCAGATGCGGCGGCTGTGGAGAGCGAGGAGCAGAACGAGGAGAACGATCAGCTCGAGCGTCAGGCCAGGAAGGCCGCCAGGAAGGCCAAGCAGCAGAAGGACGACAAGCAGCAGAAGGACGACAAGCAGCAGAAGGATGACACGGAGCAGAAGGACGATGAGAAATGCAAGCTTGAAGCCGAGCTGGCAGCGCTGCTGGCAGAGATTGCGGCAGTGCAGGAAGAGAGGCCTGCGGAGGGATCCCGATCGAGTTTTTTTTGCAGTTGCTGTTTCCCCTGTCATGGTTTTTAGCGATTGCTCATTTCTGATTTTATTGGCCATGATAGGACGGAGAAAAAGCCAGATCTCGAGTTGGTGGAGACCGCGCCAAATCCCGAATTGGTGAAGACGAACAAGGAGCACACTGAAGGCGGCCCTATATATTCACTTTTTTTGCATTTGCATGGCGTATCATTCCGATCTATTTGCACCTTTGGGTGAATTTTTTGGGCATGCAACCGACACGGCTAATCCCGGTGAAAATGCATGCGTGCATGCGTTTGTACCGGCCGGCTTGATCCGGCTTGCGCCAGGTGATTCGGAACTGCGGATCCTGGTGATGGGGAACCTGCGGATCCTGCACCTGTGCTTCGGGGCAACCCAGATCAGGATTCTCGCTCGGGTCTTCTGTCGCGAAATCATGATCGCGGGTCAAATATATGTCGGTCCCAGCTAATTATCTGCGAATTGGAAATCGAGCTTCGCAACTTGCATGCGTGGGTCGTGTGCCTTCAGGAGGAGACACAGGTCTACCAGATCGTGGAGAGGGAGACCATGGAGACCCCCCAGCCGGTGGACAAGGGGTTTGTTGACGAGACCCCGGAGAAGGCAGGGTGCATGGGCCATTGATCTCCGCGCCCATATATGATCTTATACGCGTGTGATAGCACATTGCCCACACGCGCGTGTAGAGGAAAAGCCAAGTCAAAGACATGCGTGCCGATCACTGTGACCATGCATGCAGTTTCTTCAGCACCGATAGCCAAGTTGCTGCTTTGTTCAGTCGTTTTTGGGGTAAAGTGGACGGACAAATGCATATGGCGATCCATTAAGACGCGAATTTGGGCAGTTGACCACCTCACCTTTTAACGGGGCATTTTCCAAAATCGGACGTGCCTGAGCACCCCTATATTTTCTCGAGCTGTGAGGTGGATGCACCTCTGGTGATGGTGGACCCGGCGGAGCAGAACAAGCTTCGCAAAGACTTAGCGAAGCATCTCAAGCCAGGCAGAAAGCGCCGCCGCCCGGCCTCCAAGACGGAAGATGAAGTGGGTTGGTGGGGCGCAGAAGCCGATGCTGCTGGTCAGGACTCGGGGACTACAGAAGCACACTCCAAGCAAAGCGCAGCAGCCAGTGCGCCTGTGTGGAGTGGCTGGAAACGGTTTGAAACTCCGGGGAAATTCCCAACGCCAGCCGCTGTTGCGAACAATGTTCACAAGAAGTGCAAAAAACAGAAGGCATCCAAGCCTATTGATGAGTGGGACGATGAGAAAGAGTCGGAGATGTGGGCATGCTTTCAGGCATGGAAAGATGGTTGCGAGGAGAACCCTGCGGAGGGCGTCAACCGGAAGGACCGCACCAAGAAGCACAAGGCCGCCTTCGAGCCAATCAAGGCAAAGGAGCCGAAGGAGCCGAAGGAGCCGAAGAAGCCGAAGAATCTGAAGGAGCCAAAGGAGCCGAAGAAGACGAAGAAGCCGAAGGAGCCGAAGGAGCCGAAGGAGCCGAAGGAGCCGAAGGAGCCGAAGGAGCCGAAGGAGCCGAAGAAGACGAAGAAGCCGAAGGAGCCGAAGGAGCCGAAGGAGCCGAAGGAGCCGAAGAGCCGAAGTCGAAGAAGTCGAAGAAGTCGAAGGAGCCGAAGAAGCCGAAGGAGCCGAAGAACCAGAAACGCTCCTACTTCCGCGTGGACCCCACCCAGCGACCAGGTTGTTGGCATTGTGAGTACACTCCCGGAGGCTGCGCCCTGTGTAAGGACCTGCAGCTCGGCTGCGCGTCCTGTAGGGGGTGCCGGAGTGGTTGCGGTCATTGCCGGCAGCCAGAGTTTCGCGGAACAAGGATTTCTGCTGGGGAAGCCGCCGCATAGTGTCTTTTCGACTTGCGTGGCTGCAATAGATTCAGCTAGCCAAGTCTTTAAGTAGGCCAGACGCATGGCATGTGTCTCAGGGAGACTGCATGGGGGCCATATAATTTCCATGTGCATGTGTGCAATATTGAAAGATCAGAAAGAATGTGAGCTGCATGTGAGTCAATCACAAAGAACTTTCTCCACACTGCACATGAAATTTTAGCAATTGGCCAATGGGTGGCAGTCAGAAGCCTTGAGGTAGACTGCTATGAACGTCTCCGGCCTGAAAGGCCACTTGAGTCTTTGTGCGAAGATGAACAAAACTGCATCCGATGTTCTCAGACCATTCAGTCACTTTCGATCTCTTGTGATGACAGCTTGGACATTTTCATGGCCTTGTTGTTGCAGTCAGATGCTGGATTGCTGCATGATTGGTAGGGTCGGGTGTGAGAGTGTTGGTGATTCTCATTCATGGATCCACCCTCTCAATCGGAACCCCTCATGTTGATCATGCCCTCCTTGACCCTCTCAATCGGAGCTTTAGATCCTCAATCGGAGTGTTAGGGTTCCGCGGCCCTTGAAACTTGTTTGAGATTCGGGGATGCACGAAGGGTCACTCGATCGCACCGAATTCTCGAATTCGCTCGCGTGGACTCGAATCCTCGCTAGGCCCTGCTGCTGGCGCTGCAGGCTTGCTGGCTGCTGCATCGACGCCGCTTTTGAGGCGCGCTTGTGTGTTTGGGGGGCCAGACGCGCATGTGCACTTCTTGAGGGTTGCTTTTTTCCCATGATCCAATCGGAGTTGCGTGGTACCTCAATGTACGAACCGGGAAAAGGAATCATGCCTCGGCCTCGTAGTCGGAGGCATAATTGGCTTGCGCTTCCCGTGACTCACTCCCGGTAGGTCTGGCTTGGAGATGGACGATGAGTACAGCGTGGATGCTTCGGAGGCAAGCGCTGAAGCGGAGATCCGAGGGTGCCACCCCGCTTTGCTCTGCTTGGGAGTCTTGGTCATTGGCCACCAGAATTGATTGTGCACCTTTGTTTCAGTCATTTTCAGTCACTGTTGCTGGTTTTGGGTAAACTTCATGCATTCCAGGCAGTG